AATTGAGAAGTTCAGGAAACTGGAAACTCCTTTGGTGAAAAAATGAAGGAAATTTTGCACTGTTAATACTGGGGTTTAGTGGGTATCAGATTCATAGATTAGCCCTCTCGGAAAGGCACGCAGCTAGTTTGAGAAATTAACCTATAACATGCTAACTATTTAGCACGTTGTTATAATTATATAATAATATTTAAACTTTCAACTAAACTCTTTTGATATATATGGTTGCGGGCGTGAACCTGAAACTAATTGCATTCATTCATTTAAAATTGTTTCCATCACTTAAAAACTTTATTTATTTATTCAACTGGAATTTTATGTTAAGTATTTGAAGTAATTAATTCAGTTTCATTTTTATTAATTTTTAAAACATGTTAATTATTACTTTAATTGTAAAAATAATTATATCTAGGTAAGGGATTTTTATATCCTCAAGAATTCAAAATTAATTCTGATTTTCAAGACTAATATATTCTAAACGCCACTCAAAAGAATTAAAAAGAAACCCAAGCCAAAACCTTACTGTTTGTTAGCTTCATTAGCTCATTTGTTAGCTTCATCATTCATTTTGTTAGCTTCATTCAGTGAAGAAAGCGAGAGAGTCACGTCTGTGCAGCCATCTAACTTTCGATCGTGAAACAGTGTCATGATTCACTATGTTTTTTCCTTTATAGCACCGGTATAAGGACATAATCTATGTAATAAGCTTTGAGTAAATTCAGACTGATTGATCTATACATGTAGTATTTTCTATTAAGCCTAAAGAAACTTACGTGAATTGCAATATGTCTGTTGTTGTTTTTAATGATAATTGTGCAAGCCAAGCTTATCAATCATTAACCATGCGAATTAATTCAGTAAAGATAGCTTTTGTTTGACAAGAGAGCTGCGCTAAGTGAAAGAGTGACATAGCTCAACCCCCCCCCGATTATATAGCAACACCACTCAGTCTTGAGGCTATTTCCACAAATCAGACATAGATCTTAACGTGGAGGAAATTTTCTCTGGATCCATGCACCTTGTGAGCATACTACTCAGGTACTGACCATGGACTTAAGATTCCACAGATTTTAGAAGTACGTATATCGCATATATATGGTAGGTGTTAGCGGCTTTAAGAATTGAACTTCGGCAACTTCGGACAGAGGTCCTATGATCTAACCACTAGATTAGCACGGCCTCAATATTTATAAAAAAATATCAAAATTGCCAGAAAATACTTGAAATATTTCCACCATTCTGCAATATTGCGGTGCCAATTTCCAAATTTGAGTACGATACATAGTTTACGGTGAAACACTGAAATATGGAAAATGTCGACATTCAACGGTGAATGTCAACATTCGCGTAGTCACTTGGTGTGTGTCCGAAATATTTGCTACATCCAATTTTATATTAATTTATTCGTTAATATTATTATATTTATTTGATATATTTATATTTATTCTATATTTTAATACTTACTGACGATAGATTAGAAGAAACATCTGTGTTTGGAGTATCGGGCAAATATATATCGGACAATGGCACTTGACCTTAAAAAAACATCAGTGCAGGGTATACCGGGCAGTGGCACTTAACCTTAAAAAAACATCAGTGTCGGGTATACTGGGCAAATGTAAACCGGGCAGTGGCACTTAACCTTAAAAAAACATCAGTGTGGGGAATACCGGGCAAATGTATACCGGGCAGTGGCACTCAACCTTAAAGAAACATCAGTGTAGGGTTAAAATATCGAATAAATGTAATTATATCCACGAATAAATTCATATCAAATCGAATGTAATAAATATTTCGGACATTCACCAAAGCATATCTGTGATTGTCGACATACACCGGTGAGGGTCCGAATGTACAAGAATGTAATGNTGATATATATATATATATATATATATATATATATTTATTTATTATGCAAAGGTATTTATAGAATACGTTTTCATGGAATGTACACTGTATTAAACTGGGACTTTATTTTAAACTGGGAGAAAAAAAAATTTTCACTGCATAATTTTATCGATAACATGAGTCACCAAAGTATTCTTTATTATGGTTCAACAGTTTTGAGAATCTTTTAAGATATTCTTTTAATCAAATCGCGGCTAAGAGCAATAGGAAAATTTGATATTGTGGTTAGTAAGACTATAGTTCTGCGAGTTACCTTGGAGCAATGATGATGGAATGCATTATCATTCGAAATACCACGGAAAATTTGCATGGGGGAATATTTAGGAGATGCGTCATTTCACGCAAGAGTTACATTTTGTGACTTGTGAAATCTCTTTACCTTCCTTTTTGTTGAAACCACATATGTCTTGCTAATTTACGTGAACCGAAACAAAAGATTAATTAGAAAATCATTGCTATTCTGCTACACCCAGCATTCTGGAGTTTTCAATAACGATGATACGAGAATGTGGATATCAGCAAGAAGTATATCTTTCTGATGAGGACTACGAGACGTGAAGAGACAGTTTAAGACGTTTCGCAATAAAGCGGAAATTATGAATAGGTTAATAAACATTTAATAAAAACTTTCGTTGACATACTATATTTTCCTGTGTTGATTTGTGCAAACTACGTTAGCTTAAAATTTCCAGTTTTAGGATTTCAATACTTTAAAAAACTTTTTAAACAAATGAATACTTCTACCGTAGTGTTATCACCGACTTTGAACATCGATATTTTCGCGTGATTTATGTAGTTAAATTGAAAAGTTTAAAATTTTTCTCTGAACAACATAGTTGTAAATAACAACAAACAAAAAAATATAAAAAATAAAAAAGTTAAAAACAAGCTTTTAGAATAATATACATACGTATTTCATTGATTTGAATTCAGTTCAGCATGTCTCAGGCTATACTTCAGGTTTGGTATAGAAGATTACAGGTTCGACGGTATACAGGAACTTCGGTACTTTAAAATAGTATGCTATTGATTCCAAATCAGAAATGTCTTTCCTTGAATCTAGTTTGTCGTTAATTTCACATGAATAATAAAGAAATTTTAACTTAATGAATTTTACTCCTTTTTATGTAATGATATAACCAAAACCTCGCTTTTATGTTCTGAATATCGAAAATATTCTGAATATGTTCTGAATAACCAAAAAGATGGTGTCAAATTGTTTATTTATGTTCGTTGATTCATTTAGTAGAGAGAAAAAAATTAATTTCAATTAAACATAATCATTGTTTTCAATAAAACGAAACTCATATTTTAATCTCTCAGAAAATTTTTCAATTTACTTTTGCTACGGACAAATACTATTTGCGAAATCTATACATTTCATTTTCTCCACTTGCGCATTCTATTTCAAAATGCTAGAACTGGAAATATATCCTATATTATTTAAATACATGAGAATTTTTGTTCGCGAAAACATTTTCACAAAGAAAAAGAAAAGATAAAGTTTCGATGGAATCTTTGAAACGAATATATAAAATGCTTACCCATTTCAATTTCCAGACTGAAAATAATGCCACTTCGTCCAAATAATGGCCGCCTTGGGAACCTAACACGTAGGCTTATTCAATGATATTTCTATTGCCAGATACGGTAGAAGTTAGGGAAGAAATAGGGAAAAATTTGTGGTTGTTTTGGAACATTAGGGAAAACTCTCCTATGGCTAACTCAAGTGTGATACTAGAAATATCTAAGACTTATGCCTAGAAAAGTATAAAGCATTTTTGAACTGAAAATTTTGCAGATGTACTAAAAACAAAGCTTGCGATAGTCAGTGCGAAAAACAAAATGGTGTTTTGCAGATTGGTGAACAAAACTGCAATAACTCAGAAACATAAAAATCACTCCCAGGTGTACAGTTTAGAACAAAAATAGATTTCATTTTTATTCTAAGAGAGTGATTCACAGCATTACCGTTGTAAAATAAAGAAGTAAAATACACATTTATCACTTACTCTTGTATATTTATCATATACTCTGGTATTGCTTTTGGGGAAAAACTATTGTATTGTTCAGATTCTTTTATTTCTGAAAAATTTTTACCAGACAAAAATCAGTAAAATTTAAAATTCAGCCATTAGTAGTTTTTATAGTAAATTACTTTATTTTTATATTTTATAAAAAATAAAGAGTTTCTTTAACACTTCATTAGGAGCTAGGGAGGGAGATTAAAGCGACGCAACATTGTATGTACATGTAAATCTTCCCTAATTATAACATTCTGATTTCTTTATCTAAATACTCTTCCGTATCCTTTATCCGAATAATATAATGCATCTTGTATCCAAATAATACCCGAATTACATTACAGTATCCCTTTTTCAAATAAACATATTCGCGAAATTAATTCGGTTGCAAAATAGCGTTAAATGATATCTGTGCTTAAATATTCATACTATATGTTGAAAAAAAGTAATATTCGCACATTTTAGGGTATATTCAGCCTATTACCAGCCCAAACAAATAATATGAGATAAAAAACAGCTTATAACAGGATGTGTAAAATATTTATATTCAATTATTAAGTAATATAAGCAGTTATATGTTTCAAAACAAAACACATTAATTTTAAATTTTACTTGCATGAGTTATTAAAATTTGCTGGCATCAATTATCAGAAACAATTTTCGAATACAAACTATTATTAAGTATGCAAGTAATTAAACATTACAAACAAAACATTTTTCTTCGATTGCTAACGCCTAATCAGAGCCATACTATTGCTCACATGACGACTGTCCATAATATACAGTAATTGATGGTCCAAGCACACTATTGTATGAAGCGTGCTCTACTCTGCCATATAAAGATATATATATATATATATATATATATATATTAGACGACGATAGGATGGATGAGAGGAATGCTGCAAGTTTATAATTACTAAACACCGTTTTCTTGCTTGGAGAGTATGCTAGAAATTCTGATTTTCATAATAGCTTCATTATTTTCACATTTTATTTGCACCAACATTTAAAACAATATTAAAGCTAAGCATTATCAATTTAACCTTTATATTATTATTTTTTTAGGTTTTCTAAGCACATTATCTCCAGAACCTGAATTTATGGGAGATATTCCTCGAATCAAAGTTATTGCTGGCAAAGATGCAATACTTACATGTGGTGTGGAAAACTTAGGTGATTATAAAGTAAGTTAAACACAACTTTTTCTTATAAAATCTTAGTGATATGATATCTATGTTCAATTTCTCTTTTAAACAAGAAAATAATAACTGTTAACCTTTCTTAGACGATCCTGATTATGATAAATTCCTCAATAGTGCTTATCGGAAATCGTTTGAGATTTTACCCTACTCAGCCTTTCCTCCTATCCTCTCAATAAAAAGGAAACTGCATTTTTCTTATCAGTTTACATTGCCCCTAAAATTTGATCTAAAATTAATATTCTCAATGAAAAACATATTTATTTGAAATGTATTTTTACTTTGGGTTTTCTTCTAGTATCATTGATTCTCTCTCTCTCTCTCTGTATATATATATATATATATATATATATATATTCCTTATTTTGATTTCCAAATTTAAATTTTTTTTTGGATAATTAAAAATTATTTTTTTAAATGGTTTTGAAAAATATTATTAATAATTTTCTTCTTTTGTCATTATTTTTTATTATTTTCCATATTTTAAATTTTAGCCCATTTTTGAGTATATTGAACAAATTAAAAGTAAATTTCTGTTTCATCCTGAACAAGAAAAAATGTTCAAGACAATAAATGACATTAAATCACCCTAGATATCTGAACATCTAATCATGGGTTTCAATTTACTTTGGGTGAAATTATTCAACACTGCTTCTCAACCTCTAACCTCAATTTCCTAAATCCTCGAATATTTAAAAAAAATTTTTTTTATCATTTAGTAAATGATATTTCCATAACGTCATACTTTTTATCCATTTAGAAATCTATTATCTTTTAATTCCTACCCCATTATCCATTCAGAAATCTATTATCTTTTAATTCCTACCCCTTACCCTATTACCTACCACAATTGTTTCTTATCTCTCGGCTTTTGCTTGATTATCTTGTTTCCTCTCCTTTTTTCCCCAATCCCATTTATTCCTTTTAGTAACTTGTTAGAAAATTTCTTCTGAACCTTTGTGTTTCGAAACTATTAAATCCATTTATTTATAGATCTAAGACTGTAGCATATCTCCTTATGTGGTGTTATTAGTGCATTTTCGTGTTTTTAGTTGATTCATTATGGTAGAATTAGCTGCTGCCAGATAGTATTCATTACCAAATGATACCAAATTATTTTTGTCAGATGGTGATTAGGTGTAGGACATAATAACACTGAAAAATGGATATTACAGAATGGGGACAACTACTGAAAATATTGTGAATGTTTTGTTAGTTATTATCATGTTACGCAATTTTTAAGAAATACATGATGTTCACATGATTTATTAGCTCATAAGGTAGAAATAAAATATTATTTTACAAATTTGTTTCACCAAAGAAAAAAATAATCAAACCAGTTGAGTGTCAGAAGCCTAAGTAATTTTTTTTTAAAAAAAGAAAAAGGATGATTGTTGATGGATGAAATGAAATGTCTTAACTAGTCATAAGGATGAAATGTCTTAACTAGTCATAGTATGGACTAGTTAAGACATGGATAGACGACGTTGAAAAGGACCTCAAGCTATTGGGAGTCAACCGATGGCGGGCCGTCGCACCGGACAGGGCCAGATGGAGGAAAATCTGCGAGTCAGCCTTGGCCTGTGAAAGGCTGTTGCGCTTATGAAGAAGAAGAAAACAGCAAAAATTACTGAAACCCTGAGTGTCGCAGTAAAACCCATTTTAAGGCAAATTTCTGCACAATAATTTTCTAGTAATATTTATTTATTTAAAGTGATTCGATAATTTTGCAACGGATAATACTTTAAAAATTACGGTGCCTCTTTTTTTCCTTAAAATTTTAAATTAATTGAAACAGGAATTTTTTGCGACGCATTTGTATATTGGCTGTATGACTCAAATCAATGTCCTTGATTTATTTAAACGCGTTGCAAGCGTTTTGATCATTGAATCATTTATCTTCGCTTCGAGGGGCAAGCATGTGTGATCAATAGCTCTACTGTAATTTATCAAAGTAATTAGCCGACCCATTATCTTATATTCCATCGAGACTAAGCATAAACATCCGTCAAAATTTTGCTCCGTCAATAATAAACTGTGCATTTTCTCTTTGATATAGAAATTACTTAACTTCAAATCAGTGTAACTACTTTTTTATTGCCGTATGTTTACTTTTTAAATTGAAAATGTTTAAACTTAGCCATCTGGAGGCATTAATTATATCATATTTTAACAGGCTTCAGATTCATGTAATGTTAGATTAAATATCTAACGAATGAAAGTTATTCGCTAAGCTTTGGAAGAGATTATCAGAAAAGCATTCAAAATCATTCATTATGTTGTTTTATTTAATTTTTTATCCTTATAAGATTCAAATATAACTTGAAATTTACCTTCAAGTTAGGGTGAAAAATTAGATATATGCAGACAAAGAGTGCTGGTATTTCTTGACAAGATTTCGGATTTATTGTATTTTTCAAACATCAATCTGATCAATTAGGGAGGAAGGAAAAGAAAATGAATAGTATCGCTAAGTATTTGAAAACTAAACCATGCATTGATAGCTTCTATTTATTTATTTTTAGAACCTTAGTTATTTCAAACTTGTTGCTCGGACGTTTCTGCTCATTTTATTAGATAGGACTTGTGTTTAAAACAGAAAGGATTCGACTAATAAAAATGACCAGAAAATGACGCTGTAATAACTGTCCAAAATGAGAGAACATAGGAGATAAATTTAATGAACTTAATTGGCTTGCTTGTTTAAATCAAAATTTTAAGGATTAAAAACACGTGCTTGATTTAGCTGCAGTTGTTGTGCAATAATTGCATTATGACACTTTTAAAATTCAAATTTTGCATTGTTGCAGTGAAATTCATGTAGAAAATTACCTTATCTTTTTGCCCTAAGAAAGTCCCTCCTAACTTAAACTTTCATAGATACTTAAAAATTGATTTGTAATAGAAAGAGCCAAACATTATTTTATAAAATGCTTTGTCTGACGTTTTTTTTTTAAATATATGTTACAAATATATACTGAGGCCTTTTCAATCAATTCAATCGCATCTTTAAAGATGCAAAATTCCTGTTTTTATGATATTTAGCAATGAACTAGATCATTCTCCTTTATTTAGGATAAGAGTAAAAGAAAAAAAAATTGTTTTTAACTTAATCATACATAATTAATGTTTTGATAAATTCGCATTTTTTTCATAGTCCATAGGCCGTCTAATATTGATTTATTTTAATTTCTGACCATCCTTAATTTGTATTTCATTATAAAAAATCCTATATTTGATTAAAAAATAAAAAATGTCTATGATAGCGCTTGTCTATAGGTACAAGACAACAGCTTTATAAAATTTTGCTGTGAGTGCATTTAAAAAGACGTATTCATGAAAACAATCCTTCAATTTTTACTCGGCTTAACTTTCAACGTTAGTGACGCGCTGAACTTCTTTCATGGCGAAGACCAGAAAACAGTTCGCATTGCATTATTTCAAGGAGAAATAACTTCTGGTGAAATAACCGTACTGTATGGTAAAGTAATTTTTGATTTAAAAAAAAACTTTAACTTTGGTATTAAAAACTAAACTTTGCGGTATTTAAACCATTTATTTTTCCACAATTTTTCCGCCTATATAGTAACAATATAGCGGGAATTCTGGTTTTCAAAATTATAGTTCTTATTGCCTCACACTTAGTAAAAAGGCCAAGGCCTCACATTTAGTAAAAAATATAAAGCTGAATTATAAATTGAGCCGAATACATGGTTTAATAAATGCTCTAAGATATCCTGGTAAAATTACTGAATTTAATCTTATTTACCAAATATTATCCTACATTATAAAACGATGTTTCATTGATAAATTCACCATAATCATTACCAAAGCTTTTCGTTAATAATAACATCTTTTCGGCTTTCTCATACAACCAGAAAAATCATGAATTTTACCGTTTTTTGTTAGCTTTGACCATTGTTTTCCTGTCAATGTGCTAAAACATATTAGAGCAGATGGAAATAGTTATCCCGTTTGTTACGCACCGTGCTCCCCAGCCGCTCTACGTCTATGATGCATGGTATTTTCTGATTAAAAATAAATAACCAAAGTTTGCAAGATTTAAAGTAATCATTTTAGCATTACAACCAGATATAAACAGGGCTACATTTGCAATTGAAATAATATTGCAATATATTTACAATCATTTGAATCGTTATTATTTTTTATATTACCTTCTTGCATTTTCATAAATATGTTAAGCGAAGTTAATGATAAGTTATTGTTCAGTAAGATGAGATTGAATTAATTTATGTTTTTATTTCATGATCTCAATATATTGATACCTTACCGTGCGTAGACGCCTTCAGAAAAATAAACTCTTATAATTAAAAAATAATTATTCGACCATACACATAGTAATATGTGTCTGATGTCTGTTGATCTATTATGAACTACTATTTCCTCTATCTCACCCTTATAATCCATAGTATAACTTAATTTTAAGATATTCAATTAAATTTCAAGAAACAAAGGAAAAAATTTAATATGTCACATTAAAATTTGTTATTAATATTAATGTCAAAACTAAAAACATATTTACTTTTAAAATTAATCTTTCTTTTTTTCAAAATGTGTAAAATATATTATAAAAAAAGAAAAATATTTTGAAAATTTTAAAATTAAATAAAATCTAAACAGAATTTACCTGAAACTTTCAGTGTACTGATGCTTCTTACGTTACAGCTTTATAATTTTAGATCTTGTATTTACAAAATAATCACGCATTATTTTAAAGCATAAAATAGAATTATTGGCTATTGCACAATTTTAACATATTGCTTTTAAATATTATCAAAAACTAAAATAAATAATTTTTAAAAAGTACTAATTAAATTAAAAAATTATACCAATGCATATGGTTCCAAAAAATATTTGTTTTACTGCTTGCAGGTAACGTGGAGTGTTGTGAACAAGAAAGATCAACTATCCATAGGAACTCATGTGTTTATAGATAAAGACCGAATCAAAGTAACTACAATTAATTCCACATCATGGTATCTACACATAAAGAATGTAACACAGCATGATGATGGTTACTACGCTTGCCAAATAACAACTAATCCTATTAAGAGTCAGACAGGATACCTCGAAGTTGTTGGTATTTACTGCCATCTTTCTTTTTTTTTAATTCCTAGTCCCAAAAATCCTTTTAATAATACTTTTTTTTACAGATTCAAAGTTTTGATGCGCATTTTCTCAACATTATTTTCAGAAATAATAGATTTCTTTATCATACAATTTCCATTGACATTTTCTAAGAATTCGTATTATTATCATAGGTCACTTTAAAAAAAAATAATAATAATTACCTTTTCCACCATTACCTATTCCTTTTAAGTTTCCCTTTGCTTAATTTCCTTAAACATACTTAATAGGTTTACATATTAGATTATATAAGAATGAATATACAATTTATTTATATTTTTTCCGAGTCTATATTTTTCGCAATAATTATTTTTCATTTCTAATTTTATATCGATTTCTTCTTGTGAGAATTAATGTGCCATATCTGAGTGGTATCAATGTTAACAAGATCGCCAAGCATATTACATATTTTTCTAAACAAATTCCTTTTGCTTAATTTCCTTAAACATACTGCCTAAAAAGTTTTTTGATTGCCAAATTTAAATTTTGAAATAAATATTTTTCCGAAGTTAGCATTGTATAATTTTTATATTGTTTCAGTTTGCTTTTAATTCCAATATTTAAGATTTAATATAAAGTTTTAGTTTATATCTATTACGTATATTATATCCACTTACCAACTCTTTATTTTCTTAACCAATTATTTTCTGTCTCTGAATTGATGCCGATTTTTTCAACAGTAAAGAAGATCATAGTATGAATTTCAGCAATTTATGCTATGTTTATTTATGCCTGGAAATGAAAAAAAAAGCATTTTTCTCTTTGTATTACCTGTTTACATTTAAAATACTGTTTTCTACCTTTTAATGTTCCTTTTTCCTTTATTTAATTGTTTATAAGTAAAATTTCAGGTTTTGAAATGAGCAATTTTTTTTTTTTTGGATTCAGCGAAGTATAATTTTTTATTAGTTCATTATGTTTAAATTTCCTATATTTTTGGCTTAATATCGATGATTGATCAGTTTGTTACTTTTCTTGACCGTTTCAAATTTATTTAAACTAATACTTACTAGCTTTAAAATTGCTCAAACCGATAAAAGCCAATACAAAATTTTCAAACTCTCTATTATTTCCAATTTCAATTCTTTAGCAATGTATACAAAGTATGTTACTTTAAAAACAGTGCATTTTGCTATTTATTTTGCGTGTTTGCATTAAATATACTGCTTAAGGAATTACTACTTCTCAAATGTTTGGATTTTGAAATAAATCACATTTTTCGGATTTTGAGTAATATAGTGCTTTTATTTCTTCCATCTGCTTCTATTACTTATATATTTTAGGTTTAATTTTGAAGTTTATTTCTATTTTCATCAACTCTAAATTTATCGAAACTATTTCCTTTTCAGCTCTAAATTTATGACCATTTCTTCAATAGTGAACAAAAATTAAATCCTTCAGTTTTTGAAAATTTATTTATCTAATTCTTTTTATTTTTTTAAATTTAATAGCTTTATAGAATTAGTGGATACTTTCTCTATCACTTGGGTGACAATAAAACCGTATTTTAAAATAGTTTAAATTAACTTAAAAGCTTCCATCCGGGTGCTTTTAGAGCCCGAAGGCTGATCCTCTCGTTTTCTATTTGCCCCCATACTGTTTGCACAGAGATCTTGCAAATGCAAATTCCCACTCTCCGAGAAACCTTGGTGTGCATTACAAGTTTAATTGGAAAACTTTACTCACCAAATAGTCTATATAGGTTGAATGGTATTAGGATTGTGTGCATATATCCCTGCAGAAAATAAACTGTTGGACAGTATATTCCAACTAAATTCCACGTCATTTGGGGAAACGCTGTAACCTAAGAGTTAGTTTTTCGCTGGAATAGAGTCACGAAACGCGTAACTAAATTAAACACGAAGTGTCATTCCTAAAATATCAAATGCATTAAGAATGAATAATATAAAATATGAAAAATTACTAAGAATTATAAAAAATTTTATTTTAATTAATTAAGTTTAGTGAATTGAATTATCGGTAAATCAGTATGGCTTGTTCTTGGTTTATAAAGGTAAACTGCATCATCATTCATGAATAATCAGACAATTTCTTCACAAATAAAATTTTGAGTAGATGTTAGATAAAATCTTTCGGATGAAGTGAGATTTAAATGGTTGAATTCTTATTTTAGTCTTAATAAGGTATACAACAGTAATTTACTTTGCTTACTCTTCCAGTTCCAAAGATCTCGTTAGATAGAAGTGAGAATCTAGGAAAGTTTTATACAAACGAACGAAATTAATATAAAAATAGTTGATAACAAAAAATCGATGAATTACCCTAGTAAACCGGTTTTTTGACATGAGAATGGGATTGCCATGAAGTAAACAGCTTTAATAAGTGTTAGGGATTTATGAGTTTTGAAAATTGGTTGCTTACGAACAAGAGGTTAAGGAAAGGTATGCTTTTCATTTCCAAAGGTTAATGTTTAAACTTAAAAGCTCCTTTACATAACTTCATTGCAAAGCACTAAAATCAATCATCCAATCAGCTCTTCAAATTTGTCCGACAGAACTGCATTGAGTAAAATCAAGGAAAACAAAATACCGTGAGGGCAAAATCTACTTTGAAGAAGAAGAAAAAGCAATGGCAAAATATCATGTGAACAGAGTATGGTTAGGGCAGAATGTTACGCAGATGATACCGATCTCGAAGAAAATAATAACAGAACAATGCATCATGTGTACAAAGAATGGTATAGTAGAATGATGAGTAGAAAAAGAAGTATAATGAGGACTGAATGTTCTGTAAGCAAAATCTCGCAAACGACAAAAATAACTCGATTCCAAAAATTATCGCTTAAATAAAATATCGTGTGAGGAAGAACTACGTAGAACAGAGTGAGCAACATATGAAATGTATCGCTCACTTCCAAAAAAAAGTCACGAAGTGTGAGCGAAATTTATTCCACGATATATTTGTCCAATGCAATACTTCTCTAAGTCTGGAAATGTGTGCTAGTAAACGTGTGTTTCTCACGTTGTTTTGACTTTTTTTCCCTCATAAATTTTGACTTAAAACTTTTTAACCAATGATGATACCTGAGTTATACTGACCAAATATCCGAAAATTCAATAAGTATTAGGTGTATACGATTATCCAGTGTAAAAAGAAAAATGTAATATGCAAAAATGCAGTTAAAGGAATTTGGAAAAAAATGCCAATTAAAATTAACGTGCTCATTATACTTAAAGATAAATGCGTCAGATGCCACCAATGAGCCAATTCGATTTTATTCAATTAGACTAGTAAACCTTATCATGAAAATAAAATCCAGATTAACATTTTGCACTAATAAATTATCACTGTATTTCTCTATTATTAGTCAATGATATATTTTTTTCTTATAATATGCTTATAAGCCATCTGCATTTATTTAAAATCTACAATTTATATTTGCGAATCATGTTTATAATAGCTTTCAACATTTTATAGCATTGTATTAAAGTGATACTCTATTAAATAATATAATGACTTCCGACCCTTGCTCAAAACCTCCTTAGCTAAAGGAATGCAAACGAATTCTTCCAATATTTACTTAATTTTTCCAAATTGTAATTTCTATGTTTATACATGAGTAGTATGGGCTATATTAATTGCATTAACTTGTATAAATTATAAAATTGCTGAACATCTCACTCAAGGGGCCCATTTTAATTTCATTTGATTTTCTTCCATTCATTTTGCTTTCAATGAAGTCGATGACTTTATTAATTTGTTTCTTCGCAAGCCATGCACATAATTGTCTTATAATATCTATACTAGGCATGCTTTTATGAAGTTTTTTTTAGCTACAGGAAGTGAAAAAAGAGAAAAAATATTTTCTTATCTTTATTCCTAAAACTTACAACAGACAAAAGGGCAATAATATTCAAACATTTTAGAATTAATTTATTTATTTTTCTTATTTAATAAAAAGAAAACATTTTCTACAACTATTTTTAAAACATCTGACATCATTGAAACATGCTTCAAAGCAACCTTAATAAATTCGAATACTGCAAAACAATGTACAGTTTTTAAATCGGGTAAAATTTAAAGTACTATTTATTTATTGAAGGAGCACTGTACAAGACAATGGAATAATAGTTTCTCTATTTTCCTGGTATACGTTTTATTTTATTTTAAGCACCTTCTTAATACGTTGCACCTGAGCCTTTAAATATCCACTTTGTATTCATACAGACGTTGTCTTAAGTCAGCATATCTGCTCTCATTTTCTTCATATCATTATTTTTTTTACACTAAGCAACCTCCTGTGCTCAGCAGACTGATCCTATTCACTTTAAAGTCCCCCCTGTAAGTATCTCAGAAGGCGCTTTTTTTTTTAAATAACTTCACGGAAGAGCTGTAACTAGCTTTTTCGTGGCTCGTTGGATATCAATAGATATCTCCACCCCTACCCGATGTCTACTGAACAAAGTTGGGAAATACGATTTCGCCATCACGCGTCCAATAAATGTCTTCATTTTTATAAAGAGCTTTTGTTTTGTAGCGGAGATCATTCTTTTTACCGCAAAATCGATATCTAAAAAAAACTTGAGTTTAAAACCTCTAGGAAGAAAAGCAAATATGTATATTTCAAAAAACGAAAACAGAAATTTAGAATATTTGTTTCGTTTCAAATAAATGTCAAAATATTTTCTTTAGTTGAAATAAATTTGGAGGTGCCAATTTTAAAAATGAATGATATAACGTGATAAACTCTATGGAATAGTTGTGGAAAAGAAATTTGTTTCGCAATGTTGCCAAAACAACAGAATTTTCCCGGATTTATATTGGTTATGAACACAGGTTTATATTTGTAGTTCTATTTTAATATAAATAAATGTTACGTCTTATTAACTGTCTTTTTTAAGTTAATCTTAACATGATAAAAATTACTATGATATTTATTAATCCCATTGTCAATATAGGTTTTCTTAAATTTTATTTTATAATTGACTTGGA